ACAATGTTAGGACATTAGGGCTGGTTACTTAAATTCTCTGAACCTCAGTTTCTTTATAGATTAAATGAAGAGAATAATATATACCTCACTGGGTGGCTTTGAGGTTTAAATCAATCAAATGTTACAAAGTTTCTCCTGGTAAAGTATCCAGCCTCTAGCAGTCAGTAAGTGATAGCTGTTATTGCTGCTCACTGTTAGTTTTTAAACAATCTTTTGTAATAAATAGTGGAAAATCGCTGAAATAAAATTGTCTTTTATTTTAGCAGCCCTCCAATGCATCAAAATTAGAAAACAGAAAGAATTAGTGAACTTGAAGACAGGCTATTTGAAAACACACAGTCAGAGGAAGCACACAAAAAAAGAATAAAAAAGAATGACACATACCTACAAGATCTAGAAAATCGCCTCAAAAGGGCAAATCTAAGTTATTAGCCTTAAAGAAGAGATAAAGAGAGATTGGTGTAAAATGTTTAATCAAAGGGATAACAGAGAACTTCCCAAACTTTGAGAAAGATATCAATATTCAAATATAAGACTGATATAGAACCTTAAGCATATTTAACCCCAAGAAGACTACATCAAGGCATGTAATAATCAAATTCCCCAAGGCCAAAGATAGAGAAAGAATCCTGAAAGTGGCAAGAGAAAAGAAACAAATAACATGCAATGGGTCTTCAATATGTCCGGCAGTAGGCTTTTCAGTGGAAACTTTACAGACCAAGAGAGCATGGCATAACATTGTTAAAGTGCTGAAAGAAAAATCTTTTACTCTAGAATAGTATAGCTGATAAACAAGCAAGCAAACAAAAAAGAGCAGGAGTAGCTATACTGATGACAGAGAAAATACATTTCAAGACAAAAAATATAAAATGAGGTAAAGAAAGTAATTGTATAATGATAAAGGGGTCAATTTAGCTAGAGGATATAATAGTTATACATATATATGCACCCAACACTGGAACACCCAGATATATCAAGCAAATATTATTTGAGCTAAAAGGAAAGATAGACCTCAAAACAAGAATAGCTGAAGACTTCAACAACCTACTTTCAGCATTGGGCATATCATCCAGACAGAAAATCAACAAATAAATGTCAGACTTAATCTGTACTATAGACCAAATGAACCTAGTACATAGTTACAAAACATTTCATCCAACGGCTACAGAACACACATTGTCCTCAGCACTTGGATTATTCTCAAGGATAGACCATCTGTTAGGCCACAAAACAAGTCTTGAAACATCCAAACACACTGATATCATATCAAGTGTATTCTTTTACTACAATGGAATAAAACCAGAAATAAATAATGAAAGGAATTTTAGAAACTATAAAAACACATGGAAAATAACAATGTGCTCCTGAATGAACAGTAAGTAAATAAGGAAATTAAGAAGAAAATTGAAAAATTTCTTGAAACAAATGAAAATGAAAACACAACATACTGAAATCCATGGGATACAGCAAAAGCACTCCTAAGAGGAAAGCACTACTTATAGGTGTAGGTGCCTCTACCAAAAAGTAGAAAAATTACAAATGAACAACCTAAAGATGCATCTTAACAAATATGAAAAGCAAGAATAAGATAAAAATCAACCCCAAAGTTAGTAGAAGGAAATAAATAATAAAGAACAGAGCAGAAATAAGTGAAATTGAAATGAAGAAAACATAAAAGATCAATGAAACAATAAGTTGATCTTTTGAAAAGATGAGCAAAACTGACAACCTTTAGCCAGACTAACTAAGAAAAAAAAAGACAGAAGACCCAAATAAATAAAATCAGAGATGAAAAATCAGACACTACATGTTTCACAGCCAGGAGAGAGAGGAATCACTAATAGTAGGATGAAAAATTGCATAAACAAAGACGATGAAAAACTGTCATACCTCCCATTTGTTTCCATAAAAGTCCATTTATTTTTCCCTTATTAAGCTTATTTGTTCTTCCCACAAAAGCCTTTTCTACTTTCCTCCCTTTTTCTTATTAAGTTGGGATAGAAACAAACCCCTATTTCTAGCTATTCAGGGCTCCACTTCTTTCGTACACTACCACATGCATATGAGTAAGCTTTGTCTTTTCTCCTATTAATCTGTCCATTGTTAGTTCATTCACAGGTCCCCAACCATGCTAGCCTTAGATGGTAGAGGGAAAGTTTTTCTCTCAACAGTAGTGAAAACAGATCAAATGCCACTATAAAGAAAGTAGTTTCAAAATGAAATACAGACGCTAGTTGGGCATAAGAAACAAGACTATAAAATAGGTGAAGACTAAGAGACATGCTGGCAGGAGAGCCCTACTTGATAGAAAATATGAAAGAAATATGAACTCTATTTTGTTCCCGAAAGAGTTAAAACTAGGATATTCTAACTTACTGGCATTTTAAAGGCCACAGATTAACTTTATTCTTCACCACCTTTCCTCCGCCTCTTCAGCTGTTGTTCCTAGAGTGAACACCCACGCTGCCCCCATTTATCCACACTGCAACTTACAATTCTCCTTTAGGTTGTCCAACTCACTTGCAAGTTCCTCCCTGACTTGCAATCCTTCTACGGCACACATATTATTAATATCAACAGAAAGCATTACTTTTACAAAATGCCCAAGTATAATTGATTACACTTGGCTTGTTTCCATTACAAAAAAGACAAGGCAAATGACTCACTTTTCTTCCAACTACATTCTTGCATAAATAAAGCTTTTCTTGGTAGCCCTCAGTATGAAGCAGAGCATGGTGCATATTTTCTATGGTTAGCCAACTCTTTGTTACAGTTGCTTCCAAGGCAAATACACTTGGCTTCAACATCTGCAAAGTTAAGCAATTAATACAAGTGTCAGATAAATGATACCAAAATCAAGCCTCAGTTGAATACAAATGGACAAACACACAGAGCATATTTGATATTTAATAGATTTAATCTCAAAAATCACAAAATGATGAGTTCCATTATTAGCAATAATTAACTCTGACATTGCAATTAACTTTTGTTTCACATATATGTCATGGAAACATCTTCATATTTGAGCATTTTTACAGTTGTGTTAGGTAGATTTTCTCTCTCACTGTCTTCCTCTTCCTCCTCCTTCTATTTTTCTTCCTCCTCTCCTCCCTCTCTCTCGTTCTGTGAATTTCATCAAAAAGTTCTTACTTCTAATTTGCAGGGTCCAACACAAAATGAAAATGAGGGGTCCCTTGTTCAAAAAGCAGGAAAAATATGCCATTACATATATTTAAATATAAAGATTTTTCCCTTTAAAATATCCATACTGATGTAAAAGGATAATGATAATATATGAATACCACCATAAACTGAAATTGCTAAAGCTCTCACACTCTACTTCATAATAGAGTATTGTTTCTATTAATATAAATATAAATGCTTATCAAATAAAATGACCTTAAGCAGAAGAGATTGTGGGAAAACGACACCTCAACACAGAAAATACAGACACAAACAGTTCTTGCACACAAGGAAGAGTGTAGCAGGGACTCTGCCCATGCATCCTTCCTTCCATCCCTTTCCCCCAGTCTAGAGAACTAGGGCTAAGGGCTCACTGTAATGCCATCCAGGAGGACTGGCTGTCTTAATGGGAGAAGAGAGGGCTGAGTCCCTGTAACTCTCTTGGGGATGACGACGAGGCTGCCCAGTTTCAGCTACTCTCTCCCTTCCTGAGCCCATAGCATTCTGCTTACAAACTTGGACCTCAGGTCTATATTCCCTATAAGAGGGGACAGAAGAGAGTAAGGTAAATGCCAGGAGGGTGGGAAGAAAGAAATTTGCCTTGATGCAACCCAGGAAGACAGCTCTTCTGCTGTAGGCAGCTAGGCAGTACTCAGGTAGTAGAGAGAGAGAGAGAGAGAGAGAGAGAGAGAGAGAGAGAGATGGCATGAAGAGTTTCTGCGTGACAATAGGAGAGCTCATGGTTTTTGGCCCACACACCTGCAGTAACTGAATTTCTCAGGCTCAGCTAGAGCGTATGGGGGTCTGTGGAAGTGGCATATTTTCAGAACAGTGGCAGAGTTACCTGGGTTAAGTCACAGCATGGCCTAAGTGAAAAAAGTACTATATTGCTATGAGAAGAAATGAATTATTCACCAAAAGATCTGTAAGAATTGACTAATTTGTTATAAAAGCTAACAAGAGAAAAAAGTCTAGGAGTAGATATTGAGGATGCAGAAGCAAGGAGGGAAGATTATTAAACTTGTAGATATTGATTTGAGTTTATTGATATGAAGACACTCTATTATGCCTCGGGATTTAATCTCCTGGCAAAAACCAGGAGAGCAAATGACTTATATCAGATACCAGCCAGATTTGGCACTTGGATACTCCAATGCTCATTCAAGGGACTCAGGAATAGAGTAGCAATAATGACAGGAAAGGAAGCTATGCACCAGCTCCATATCCTTCTCTTCCTTCACTGTGGCTCATGTAGCTGCTGCTGTTGCTGAATATCTGATCTTCAAACAACAGTTACCAACACTAAGCATGGAGCCCACCTCCCAACTACCACCCCCAATATAGGGATATCCCATGAAGAGACCAGCCAACAGTACAAATGTGGTCTTATTAGTCCAACTGGTGTTTCAACCTTACTAGGACAGATGTGTGTTTGGCTATAGGTTTGCCTTCTCTGTCTTTTTAGCACCATATCTGAGTAAAAGGCATAAAAGGCATTAGATTCCCAATGAGATAGCCTTGGATTAAGAGTGGAGAAATGAGCAAGTAACCACAGGATGTACTATTTCAACCATATACCACATCATGGTAGCCTCTTAAAGTCTCAGCTTGGGCAACTGCAAGGTTGGGGCACCATCTTTCAAAATGTGAGGTAAAATTCCAACTACTGGCCATTATATGATGCTGTGTCCCAGGTAATTAGAATGCAATGATCTGAAAACCAAAGGGTGTCGAATTCTGCAGATCTTATAGGGCAGAAAAAAAAAAAGAAAGAAAGAAAACCAAAGAGTTAACATAGTAGTGGTCCCTCTTACTAGCACTCCTTGTGACCATTTTGGGTAAGGTGAGCTCTCTGTTCCTAAAATTTTAGATACTACTACATTAGAAGATCTAGTTCCCAGAATAGGAATGTTTCTTTCAGGAGATGCAGTCTGGATTTTAGTAAATATAAAGCTCAGGATATCACCTGGCCATTTTAGTCTCCAATGCTAGTAGACCAGCAGACAAACATTGTACTGTACAGGCAATGTAATTGATCCTGATTATCATGAAAAAATGGATTGATACCTCATAAAGGAGTCAAGAAGGTATACGTTTGGGCTGGGCGTGGTGGCTCATGGCCGGTGGGAGGCCGCAGCGGGCAGATCACGAAGTCAGGAGCTCGAGACCAACCTGGCTAACATGGTGAAACCCCGTCTCTACTAAAACTACAAAAATTAGCTGGGCATGGTGGCAGGAGCCTGTAATCCCAGCTACATGGGAGGCTGAGGCAGGATAATCATTTGAATCCAGGAGGTGGAGGTTGCAGGGAGCTGAGAGATCACATCATTGCACTCCACTGGGCAACAAGGCAAGACTCCGCCATCTCAAAAAATAAATAAATAAATAAATAAAACAAAAAAGGTAAAGGTATATGTTTAGAGGCTTAGACTCCTAAGGGATGAAGACCTGGTTTACCCATTGGTCAAGCAACCTAGACTAGTAGAAGTGCTATCTGAGGGTGAGAGAAATAAAGATTGGGTTGTAAAGGAGTGAGATAATTAACAGAGTTTACAAATTCTGGCCTAGGGGCTGACTGAAGATGTAGGCAAAACCACAACTTCACTTTTATGTTTGTTTCCTATTATTTTTAAGAATTTTTAATTTTTGAAACAACAGGTATCCAGACCTGTGAGAGAATTTAAAAACAAGAGAGAGAGAGGAAGAAAAAGAAATAACTGGACATTCATCTTGAAGAGTCAATGACCAAACATAGTGAAATTAAAGTGGAGCATAAGTGAATCAAAAGGACACAAAGGATGGACCACGGTAGACCCTGTCATGGTACTGCCAGTTTCCCCTTAGCACTTACTGCTCTCAGTCAGCTTCTTAAGGCAACACTCCAAAGCCATTAACGGTGTTGAGGAGCATACTAAGCCACAATATGGGAAAGGCTGGGGTGCTGGGGAATCAATTCTCTCAAGAACATTCCTCAACCAATGATGGATGAGAGTTGAAGGATAAATGTCCCAGCTTTCTAGTCCCTCTGCTGGGACAACTCTTAGGGATGAATTACAGTCTTTCAGAGGCCACCATCAGGATTGAACTTTAGTAGACAAAAGCAATAATCTGCTCACTAATGCACATTCATTTTTTTTCTTCCCCTTGCTGACTCACTTTCCTACTCTCCTACCAATGTTTTCTTGAATAATATGTCAAACAAAATAATTTTACTCAAATCCTTGTCTCGGGATCTGTTTCTGGGGAAGCCAACTGGAGAAACTCTTGAGGAAGCATTAGGAGGACTATCAATCCACATAAAAGGTAATTGAAGGATATGGATCAGAAAAGGTTTTTTTTTTCTTAGAGAAATTAAAAAATATTTTTCTATTAATTGGACTATTAAGTATAGAAAAATGAATCAAAATGTTATATTAATTATATAAGAGTTAATTTTCAGTATTTAAAGAAATTTAAAGACATATTAAGAGAAGAGGTTAATATATTCTTTATTGAAAGGATCTAAACAAAGAGAAATATTAAATGTGTTCATAATAGGAGAGTTATTTTATGGAAGAAAATGCATGTTATAGTTAGATATCTGCTTTGCATCTTATTCTTTTGTCAAATCAGGAAAATTAATGATTTGGATAATTGTTGATAAAGTAGAAATTATTGGCATTAATCATTGACATAATATGCTTCTAAAATTCCTTATAAAGCATTTTTCTGTGTTACTAGCAACCAATATGTTGGACATAAAACAATACTGTGAATTAGACCCTGTGAGATAGTGTCTGGATAGAAAACTCACTATTAATCACTCCTCATTCATGATATTTTTTTGGGGACCTATACATGCAAAGTGTTTCTTTCTGGAGACTAATGTTCTTCTAGTCTATAAAGCTGGTTTGTAGCGTTTGTAGCATCTGCTCTAGGCTCAGGTTCTAAAAAGTAGTCCTCATACCCTAACCTCAAATACGGATCTTACCATCACCCTGAAGCTAAGTCGGAAAGGATGCACCTGTTGAAGCACACATGTAAGATGAAACAAACAAACAAACAAAAAAGATCTGTAAGGATAAAAAAGGGTGACATTAGCAAATATTTGAGATAACATTACTGGAAGCAGACAAAGGTGATCACTTGTAGATGTAATCTTTTAAAATACTTTCACCTTTTATTTTAGATTCAGGGGGTACATGTACAGGCTTGTTATGTGGGTATAATGTGTGATGCTGAGGTTTGGGGTACAAATGATTCCATTCTTCAGGTGGTAAGCACAGTACTTGATAGTTTTTCAGTCCTTGCCCCCCTCCCTCCACCCTTGCTCTAGTAGTCCTCAGTGTCTATTGTTGCCATCTTTATGTCTATGAGTACCCAAGGTTTAGCATCCCCTTGTCAGTGAGAACATGTGATATTTGCTTTTCTGTTTCTGCATTAATTCACTTAGGATAATGGCCTCCAGCTGCATCCATGTTGCTGCAAAGGACATAATTTCATTCTTTTTTTAGGGCTGCGTATTATTTTTACATTGGAGAAAGGACAAAAATATTTCAAGGTAACATAGAAGGCAATTTTTCTGAAAATAAAAATAATTACATTTGTCAATTGAAAGAAAAAAAGTAGATCTCAGAAAAATTTGATATATAAGTATTAACACCAAGACATACCCTGAAATCAAAAGTCGTGAAACGGTTGTGCAGGATCTGGATTTTGTCCAAAAAAAAAAAAGTCATGGAAAAGACTGTGTATTACTTTGCTAGGGTTGCCATAGCAAAATACCACAGACTATGTGACTTAACTAACAGAAATGTATCTCATAGTATAGAGGCTGGAAGTCTAAGATTAAAGTGTCAGCAGGTTTGGTTTCTCCTGATACCTCTCTCCTCGGCTTGCTGATGGCCATCTTCTCTCTGTGTCTTCCTGAGGGCTGTATTCTGTGAGTATGCATCCTTGGTGTCTTTCTTCTTTTAAGGACACCAGTCTTATTGAATTGAGGGCTCCACCTATATGACCTCATTTAACCTTCATTTCCTCCTTAACAATGACATGGTGGGTTAGAGCTTTAACATATGAATTTTGAAGTGGACATAATTCAGTCCACAACAGGCAGTCAAGAAAGGTATCCAATTTTGTATGAGAAGATGACGGTAGGCTTGCTTCACATTGCTGCAGTAACACTCAATGCTATGAGGCAGTTGAGTAAAGCAAAACAAAAAAATAAGAAGGATGTTATCAATAATTTTAGAAGTAGGCAAGTTGTTTTCAAAGAACTTTTAAGGCCTTTTTAACTTGCATAAACTGAGGTAAATATTTTTCCTGAGTCCTCTTAAAAACAAAATTTAAGAATGAATTCCACCTGAGAAACCAATGGAAAATCATAGTTAAAATCCACAGACATGTAAAGACATACATAGTCACATAGGTAATAGAACTACATTTAAATAACTGTTAAGATTATAACTACAAACTAGAATGTATAAGAAGCTCCAAAGTGGTTAAAAAATTGTTTACCATATATTTAAGGCTTAGAAAGGAATTCAGTGACAAATTATCCTTCAAATTAAATTAGTACCCCCAAATTTACTCATGTACAATAATTCTTATAATAGCACTAACCATGTACCTGGAACTAAAAAGTATCCAAATGCCTCTTAATGGATATAACCAAATAAGTTTAATGTATTCAAATAATGGAATACAATACAGCAATGAGAATAGATTACTGTAAGTAACAATATAGGTAAATCTCACAAATAATAAGAGAAAAGCCAGACACAAAATGTTGCATAGTATCTTATTTGATTTATATAAAATTTTAAAATAGATAAAATTAATGTATGTGTTAGAGATCAATATAGGATGTTGTATTTTAAAAAGTAGACACAGTGTGGGGTTTCTGGGGTACTGGTTCTTTTTTTTTTCCTAGATGCTGGTTACATGTGTGCACTCTTTCTGCAAGGTCATTGATCTATACACTCTGGATCTGTGTACTTTTATATATCTATGCTACACTTCAGAAAAGTTCAAAGAAATTATATTACTAAAGGCAACCTTAAGACACCTGTTAGGTGCATAGCAAATAAATGTTTTAGCAGCCAAAAACCAGGCAAGGGTCGGTAAAACTTAGTTACATGAGACTGGTAGTAATCATGTTAAACCCCGTTTTTGAGTCTGAAGGAGATATTGGGTTAAGGGATATACTCCATAACAGTTGCTTTTGGAGACCAGACATTGGCCTTAAGACACCTGTTCAGTGCATAGCAAATAAATTTTTTTTTTTTTTTTTTTTTTTTTTTTTTTTTTTTTTGAGACGGAGTCTCGCTCTGCAGCCCAGGCTGGAGTGCAGTGGCCCGATCTCAGCTCACTGCAAGCTCCGCCTCCCGGGTTTATGCCATTCTCCTGCCTCAGCCTCCTGTGTAGCTGGGACTACAGGCGCCCGCCACCTCGCCCGGCTAGTTTTTTTGTATTTTTTAGTAGAGACAGGGTTTCACCGTGTTAGCCAGGATGGTCTCGATCTCCTGACCTCGTGATCCGCCCGTCTCGGCCTCCCAAAGTGCTGGGATTACAGGCTTGAGCCACCGCGCCCGGCCGCAAATAAATTTTTAACAGCCAAAAACCAAGCAAGGATTGGTAAAACTTAGTTACATAAGACTGGTAGTAATCATGTTAAACCCCATTTTTGAGTCTGAAAGAGATATTGGGTTAAGGGATATACTCCATAATAGTTGCTTTTGGAGACCAGACATTGATTAAAACAAGAGATATTACAGTCTATTTTTAGTTAATAAGTAAAGACAAGACATAAGGCTAAAGCTATTGAGGACAGAGGATATGGGAGAAAGGAGCCACAACAGAGGAAACCTGAGTCCTTGAAAGATTAAAACATCTTTGGAAAGCAGTGATTTGGAGGACCTCTTGCAGATTGATAATCAAAAAGAGGCCATTGGGGGAATTTAAGAGGGAAAATTTCAGCTAAAGGTATTAACTTCTTGACACACTCGTGACTTAAATGTTTTGCTCACATTCCAGGTCCAATCAAACACTAAAATCTGTTTTTTTTTTTTTTTTAATGTTTTTAAAACCTTTGTAATCTGCTGCTTCTTTATGACCATAGTGTCTTTACCTTGATCCAGGGTAACTGCACTTGAATTACTGCACACTTTCTTCTTTGGCCTCATGCCCTTTCAAAATCTTTTCCGTGGTAAATCAAAATGTTTCTGAAACATGACCATGTTAAAGTTTACCTGAGCCCTGTGCTCCTAGAAAATAGAAACAATTAAGGAGCCCTCCCACGCTTTTGTATTCCAGAATATAGTTTACTGCAAAGAATTACCCTTTCCCATGTAACTTAGGCACAACTCACAGCTGCTCCCTTTGTTTACCTATGACAATAGGACACACAGATATTTAGTCTTCAAATTCCCATTCTTTTCCTCATACGTGATTAGTTGAAATTTTTGTACTTACTAATCTCAACAAAATGCTTCCTAACATCTCTAGTTAAGCTTCTCTCCTTCCCGCAGGTCCATAAGTTTTGACCCTTCATTAGCATAAGCCAGCACAGAAACTGTCCGTAATCGTCCCTCCCAGTAGTAGACTGACCTCAGGGTAAAACATTCTCTCATCTGCTATCCAGTCATGCCCTTTCCATCCATTCATCTCATTTTCCGACACCTGCTTTTTTTCTAGCCTTGTTCACTACCCCGTATAAAAGTGTTTTTTGCCGGGCGCGGTGGCTCATTCCTGTAATCCCAGCACTTTGGGAGGCCGAGGAGGGCAGATCATGAGGTCAGGACGTCAAGACCATCCTGGTTAACATGGTGAAACCCTGACTCTACTAAAAATACCAAAAAACAAACAAAAAGAAACACACACACACAAAATTATCCAGGCATGGTGGCGGGCGCCTGCAGTCCCAGCTACTTGGGAGGCTTAGGCAGGAGAATGACGTGAACCGGTGCACTCCAGCCTGGGCAACAGAGTGACACTCTGTCTCAAAAAAAAAAAAAAAAAAAAAAAAAGAAAGAAAGAAAAAAAAGAAAAGTGATTTTTTCTACCTGAACTTTGAAACATTTGCAGATGTAATTGTTGGAGCATCTTTCTTATTGCAATAATCTCTCTGCTCTTATTGAAATAGTCTGCCTTCTCTTATTATAATAATCTTTTTGAATAAGGTATCTGATTGCCTAAATCTGGATTAGACACATCAAAACCTGATCATACCATCTCCCTACTTAAAACCTGATTGTCTTTTTACTGTTTTTAAGATAAAGTCCAAATTCCTTTGTTTCCCAGGCCCTTCATGGACTAGTTTATCCCATGCCTGTTTACCTTTAATCCTGTCTCTTCCCACTCCTAAACCACCTCCCTTGCTATTTCCCTTTATCAAGCCCTTCTGTATGTCTTCTCAGTTACTTAATTTATGTTTTCTTTGGAATGTAGACTTTTCAACTCTATCTCCTTGCCTTGCCTCAGCCTGTCTGGTTTTACTTATCTCTTAGGCCTCAGGTTTGATGCTCCCTCATCCAGGAGACTTTCTGTGACCCAACATTTAAGGGCTTGATGTTCTTTTAAGTTCTTTTAAAAAACTCTTTGTATTTTTGCTCTCATTGTAACTGCTTCTTTAATAATCTTCTCTATTATGAGACTCTCTCCTTTAAGAAGACAGAGACTATGTGCTTTTTTATTGTTGCATCAATAGTATCTATCACATAGAAGACACTCAATATCAATTGTATCTGTACAACTGTATTAATGGAATGAAAGAATGAGTTGATTGCTTAGACACAGGAGAAGCACAGATCAAAATATTGAATCTGCCATCAGCAAAGAACAGTTTATTAGTATTAGTTTGGTTACAAGTATCGAAAACTGAACTGAACTACTTTAGGCAGAAAAAGGTGATGGCTACTGATCTCATAAGAAAATTAAGGTAAGGGACATGTGAATTAGTTAAGGCTCTCTCAAATTCAGGAAACTCAACTTTAGCTAAAACTTTCTGGGCTAGATTTAGCTTTAGGTGAAACTTAAATGAAGAGTCCAAGTGCTAATCTGGTCTCTCATTATCTCCAGTTTTTCACTGTTCTCTTCTGTGTGAAAGTCTCAATCTCAAGCCCCATTGGGTGGTAAGATGAGGGGAATGGAGCTTCCCCTCCTCCCAACTTCTCCAAGATCAACTTGCAGAGCAGACTTTGCTGTTATTGTTTTCTAGTGGTGTATATAAAAGTTCTGAAACCCACTATGAGGTAACTGAACTGTCACGTGTGCTCTCCAAACCAATCACTGTGACGTGCAGAATGTAATTCCCTTTTTGGCCTAAACTTATGTTACATACTCATTCCTGCATATGGAGGTGAAGCCATAATCAAACTGCAAAATCAAGAGTAGGAGAAAGCTAAATCTCCATCCTAACATTGATGCTTCTGCTAGATTAGCACCAAAAGCAGCGGAGACAAAGGACAAATGATCCCTACAGGAGATGATAGAGACGAACTAGGGACAAATAAGCCAAGAGCTCGAATGCCCTCAGGACCTGCTCTCCCCATCTATGCCACACTCTGCAATGTTACTTTCACCACAGAGCTAAGCTATGGCCCATAGTTCACTTTCCTTCTTTCTACTTCAACAAATGTGACTACACATTAATATTTTAACACTTGAAAATGTATTTAACATTCATTTTCTTTTCGACAATAAATAGCAAATATTTTATTGCATTTCTAAATGGACAATGTAAAAAATATGTTGCTATAGTAGTTACAGGATAACCATAGGACACAAATACCCAAATCCAATTAGTGTGCCATTAAACACTTGGCACACATGGCAACAATACTAATCAAACTTATTATCCTAGAGAAAATATAAAAACTAAAAGGTAATTAAAATGTCCCAATACATGGTAGGGAAAATCTAACACATCAAATTCTCCGTAATGCCAAATATATGACCCTGAAAAAGTCAGAAAAAGTAATAGAATTCTTCAAATAATACATGGTGCTTTGGGTACAATTTTTCAAAGTTGCTGTGTTTTCTGTTCAAATCATATTTAATCCTGAGTTTATGGAACTCTTTTCCCTATCTTTCTTTATCTGTCCAAGTGCATGAAAGTATTCTTGTAAATAGATTTTAACTGCAATTAACAGCAAATTAATCCTTCCCTCTAGATAATCCACACTGCCTCATCAAACCAGAAAACAATTCAAACCTGGCCTGCTTGTAACTGAAAGCCACATTTTAAGAACTTATTGTGAAGAAACTGGAAAGCCTCCAATAGGTGAGTGTAACTAAGGTAATTTGAATATGGGTGAATACAGGAACAAATTCCCAGGCTCTGTTACTCTCTTTGTTGAAACCCATTCTTTTGGAAAATCATTTTCTTTAGCCATTGGACAACAAAATGCATTGTCAAGAAATTTTATAGCAATAATTATAAAAGATGTCCATTTGAACCCATTGAGGTCTCACTGATTTTATAACACCCAGCAGACCTCCCTGCAGGAGAACACTATATTTATGTGAGCAATATATGCGAGAATTGAGATCGTAAAATTAAATGACCACATAGAACTGTCATTTATATGATGAGCGCCTATATATGTGAAGGCTGGTTTATTTTGCAGTGTCGGGTTGCGTTAAATGGTCCACTCTCAGTGAATGTTTTTAATCACGCATTTCTTCACTCTTTCTGCAATATTACACTTGAAGGACTGGTAAGCAGTTTGCTATGAAATGCTAAATGGTTACTGGCACTGCTATTCTGACAGAAGAGCTCACTAAAATAGAAGTACAGTACATATTGTATGCAATTGTTTTATGAGAGACATTATGGTTACTAGAATAACATTTCACCATTACCAACTGCTGAGAGAAAAGTCATTAAGATATTTGGCAAGCCAGTGCAATTTTTCAACAGAACTACAGTATAAGACCTTAGAACAGCTTCCATAGAGAAAGGCTGCCTGTCTCACAAGAAAAAAAAAAAGAAATCAAGTCTCAAGTCTTCTATGTTGTTTTATTTATAGTTGTTTATTTTCAGAGTCCATTGAAAAAGTTACAAGATATGTCAGGTATGTCAGGAGAAAAATAGCAAATGCTTGTGTGCAATATATGTATATTTCACATACAAGTATTTTCTGTATATGTGCATGTTTAGTGTGTGTGTGTGTGTGAAAGATGAATAATTCTTGTGATAAATCTTACAACTTCAGTGTGTTAAAACTCACCTTTTCCAGGGAATTGCCTTTGTTCAGAAATTATTGTGTACACTTTTAACAGTTAATTTCTTGTTGTTGTTTCTTTTTTTTAATAAGAAGACATTCATGGATGGGGCGGGGGTGAGAATATGGATTAATCTGAAGGCACTTCATCCAAATAAAGGAAAATAAAATAAGCAGCTTGCTGTGAACATTTAGCATTTCCTACCATGTATTAGTGGTTAAAAAAAAAAGTCATGATAACAGCTTTATAAATGTTTTGAAAATATGCATGCCCAAAAATATATACACACATGTTTGTGTGTATGTATTTGTGTACATATTATGTATATGTATAATCTGCACAGTAGATAACTTTTTGATTGCTAAACCATCAAAGCTTGCCACTTGTTCCTGCCAATGCTACTTCCTTATGCTACTTCTTTATAAGTCACTTCATCAAGAAAAAACACCAGCATTCACCAAAAGCAAATATACTTTGGACTGTCTCTAAAACAACAAACATATAACCAAATTGGAATTATTTAGTCAGATACATGAATATATATGAATAATCGTGAAGGCAACACTAAGTTACCTTTCTCATCACTGCTGTGGCCCCTTCAGTAAATGGCATACAATCTTAAACGGAACCCCTAGTTAGTAACTGTTAGCTGGATGAATATTCAGAAAAAAGATGCTAGAGATGTAATAAATAATAGTGTTTAATAGATATTTTAAATTACCCAGAAAATGGAATTCTATTTCTGTATATTCAAGACTTTTGACTCCACGTAGAAAGGCCCTGAATTTCTCACAGAAGTTATGAAAGAAAAAAACTATGTAGTCAGCTCAGTTAAAAAAAATCAACCCAGTTGAATTAAGCACATTTCTTATTACTTGGTGTTTTGTGCATATAGAAAAATCCAAAGTAGGAGCTAAATGATGAAAACTCATGAACACAAAGGAACAACAGACACTGGGGCCTCCTTGAGGGTGGAGAGTAGGAGGAGGGAAAGGAGCAGAAAAAGTAACTATGGGGTACCAGGCTTAGTACCTGGGTGATGAAATAATCTGTGCAGCAACTCCCCTGTATAACAAACCTACACATGTATCCCTGAACCTAACATAAACGTTTTAAAAAAGAAACACCCAAATTATATATATAACTTGTAGAATCATGATGTTTAAATTGCTCAGCATAGCTAGATCTTATTTCTATCGATGTCTCTATGACTCATTTTTCAAAAGCCAGTTTTTATCTCTCCAGTTATTGACAATAAAATTCATCAGTATCATTAAAATAAATGTAGATATCACCTTTTTTTAAACACAATTTTGGACGGCACCAAGGTGACAAGGAAGATATTGTTCTTGGTGGAAGTGATTTTTCCTAACAAGGAAATGAAGTAAACCCTTAACTGCTGACCTTTCAATAATCTCTTTTTCATCCATGCACTTGGTTTCAAATAAATTATTATAGTTTCTTATACAGATGGTATAATTATGATCTATATTACTTAAAATTAGCAAGTTTCTTTCTTTACCTACCCTGCTGTATCCCATCATAGTTACATTTCTTCCCAGTGGAAACAAAAATGGCCTGATATAGTCACTGACTTTCTATACCTAGAACTTTGGATGTGGTGAAAAGAAGGGGGAAGAGATTGGAAGAGTTGAAGCATGTTGTCCTTTGGTTCTACTTCTCCCTTTGTCCTCATATCGAACCCAGATCCAATCACAAATCAGCCTTTAAAAATTCTAAAACCTGTTCACACTGTAAAGCCCATTCCACTATGCCACATGGAAGCAGAAAGGAGTTAACTCCATTCTACAGTGAAAGCTCTAGCACCATTTCGCTTTTTCTTTTTTCCTTTTTTTGTTCTTTTTTTAACCTCTCTTCCTTCTTTCTTTCTTTCTTTCTTTCTTTCTTTCTTTCTTTCTTTCTTTCATTTTTCTTTCTTTATTTCCTTTTTCTTCTTTCTTTCTTTGTCTCTCTCTTTCTTTCTTTCTGTTTGCTTTCTTTCTGTCTTTCACTAGCATCTCCTAGCATTGTAAGTGGTATGTGGCAGGTTGTATTTGAATGAATGAATGAATATACAGATGAATAAATTAAACAATAATGGAGTAAACAAATGAGTGAATAAATAGTTCGAATACTGTCCCATAATACATTTCCTATATTAAGCACATAAACTTAATTACCTTGCAATGGAAAATATTTATAAGAATATTATATATATTTCTATATATAGGTATTGAAGATGTTATTAAATATTTGATAAGATAAAAATAGCATAGCACAGAAAACTTTTAAAAATTCAGTGCAAAAGGCATTGCCTTTGCCAGACTATTAAGGATTTTTTTTTTCTAGTGGAGTCACTGACACCTTAAAAATGCTGAACAGCAGCCCTTGTAAAACAATTTTAACAAAATAGATACTTCAGTTTAAAGAGAACTGTGAAAACTTGCCTGGTAAACAAAAGTCTTATTCTTTTTAAGTTTTTCAAGGCTGTGACCCTGGGGAAAGCTTAATTAAACTCAATGAAGAAAAAAAAAATAAATCATAAAAGTTGAATAAGTCAAAATATAAAATATTCAATTATTATTTCCTGTGGGGTTTGTTTTGTAAATATTTTATCCACAGTCTATATTCAGCTTCTTCTCCTTCCCATCTTTTAAGAAGTATCTGGGGAATAAACCCACATTTCCCCACTCAGTTGTTTGACTTCCTTTTAGTCTTCTTATAATTTATTAAATGATGTTTTTAAAAACATAAGTACTTCAAGTTTTCCTTCTTGCTGCTTTGTGTGTTGTTCCTTTCACCCACAAAATTGCTACAATTAGTGATATAAAAAAGGATCCATTAGGGCATCAGCCCATCCTTTGGGATTTTAACTATAATTGTTTCTTTCATGGAAGTGCCTCCAGTCCTGCCTCAATTACACTGTATTGAATGTCCCAATATGACATAACTCTCTTAAGATAGAGGAGATTTTATTTCATTCAATGTTTGGAAACCCCCAGAAGTGGTTCTCATTCATGTTACAATTTTTAAAATAATAATGTAGACATCAAAGTTTATCTCGTTGCTTTTCTACTATGTACCTGTTCATGAAATATGAGCCCAGGGTGAATACTGAATAAAGTTTAAAATGCTTTAAATATGAATAAGCCTATAAGAATTGAGTTTATGTTGAAATAAATGGCCTAAAGTTCAGATATGTAATAAAACTATATCACTATTTTTTAGATCAACATTATTAGTAGCCATTCACCATATTATCATGATTTTTCAGACCACATGGTTTTTCTAGTAAATCCAAGTTATCAGAAAGTGTTAGTCTCTGATACATCCTTTTATTTTAAACATAAGCATATTTCTTTTACTATAGAGGCTAACTTAAAATTATGGGAATTTTTTAATTAAGCCATACTTTACAGGTTGACAATAACATGTTATCTAAGTTACACCTTGCTTTCAAATTTATATTTTGGATAACTCATGATTATCACATATTTAATTCATTTAAGTAGGAGGAAAAATAATTATAATTACACACTTTATTCTACCGTATATCTTGATGTAAACTGATCATATTCATACCTGCCACTCATATTTTGAATAGTCTTTCTAGATGTGGGAAAATTCTCACATTGAGTGCCTTCTCCCCAGTATAGAAAGCAGAGCCGAAATTCTCTGATTCTCCAGCAATTACTGCCCAGAAATATGACCCCAGCTACACCAATCAGAATAACCCAGAGAAGACTATTTTTGACGTTATCAACATGATGCCAGACAAAACACAGACTTTCTATTTTATTGGTGTAGTTGGAACAAAAGTGTCCTGCAACGTAGCGTTCCTAGAAAGGAAGTGACATCCATGCTGTGGTAGTCATAGTTTCAGAAAAATCACATAGCAGGTCTTTGCTTCTCTGTGATGGCTATGGCACCAGGGAGGTTCCTTCCTCAGGCCATGACAGCCTGGCTATGAGCACTGCTCCTGGCAATTAGTTTTAAATCTTCATCTTTCTAGCCATTCTGAAGATGCTCTAAGCAACCTAATATTTTTTAATAAAC